GTCTAACGCTCTCGTTTCGCATACAGGGCGCCGCTCCGCATTCCTAACAAAGTAGTCATCACGCATTCCTGAAACGCAATCGCAAGGCCTCCCTCCAACCCCTCGTTAGGAAAAGATGGATTTGTGCGCGCTAGACTTCAAGAGAAATGCTTTTATTACATTTTATATATTACACTTTGTGTGTCATTACTTTTTAAATGATCTATTATTAATGTTTCTTTTTTTAGTATGACTTTTTTACTATGTTTATTTTCATTTATCTAAACTATATATAAGTACATATATATATCGTTTATACATAATAGAAATTATTTTCCAAACAAATAAATGGATTTTTTAATTTTTTTTTTAATGATAATATTATTTATAGAATATCTATAATTTTATTGTAGTTTTTGGATTTTTCTGTTTCATGTAAGTTTCAATTGAAAAATCATACAACTTTGCAATACATTATTAACACGTTTTATTCTTTATTCCCCGGGTTATTTTTATTTTTCATTTATTATTATATTGTCGTGTACCCATCAACAAGGTGACAAATTTGCACGGGTACTATAAAAAATAACCAGCAACTTGTTGCGCTATAAATGTGCCTGGTCTCGTTTATTTTTTTTTTCTTTTCTTTTTTTTTTTTTTTTATTTCTCTTTCACATATCTCGCTAGGTAAAACATTTTATTCGTTCGTGTTTAGACGAATGTTCTGAAATATTATCGAGACATTTTCGATACACGATAAACTTCCGCAAATTCTCTTAGAAGATAAATTTGTTTCCATTGACGCGAATATAAAATAAAACCAAAGATATTTCCATGAAATTGTTATCATCATTTTGATTATCAATTTTAAATCATTTGATTCTTTAATTATTTATTTAATAAACGATTATAATGATACGTGCTTAGGTTTTATATTTTTATTAATTAATAATTAAATAATATACATTATCTAATTAATATAATAAATTTGTTTGAAATTTTTGTAATAATAAAATAATACAAAAATATATTTATCGTCAAATAAAATTGATATTTGCATGAAACAAATTATTTTGTAAAACGACCAATGTATCGTTACTTTATAAATAATATTATATTATTTATCCAAATATATTATATAAGTGGATTTATTTAAAAATATTTGCTGTAATTTCAAAAATTAATAATATAAAATTTTAATAAAATTATAATAATTTAAACGTTAAAATAATATTTATAAATATCATATTTGATTAATATTTCAATATCATAATAAAATCATAATAATTTATAAAATTATAATAAAATCAATATATAAAATATTTTCAGGTGGTAATTACCTAATTAACATTTTCACTTATTAATTATCAAATTTACTATTACATGAACAATAATCAAATATTATAAACAAATCCATTTTTCCCTATTTTACAAACAAAAATCATATATGAATGATTTACACTTACCAATTACCTAATTAACATTTTCACTTACTAACTATCAAATTTACTATTACGTGAACAATAATCAAATATTTTTCTTGTTTACAAACCAAAAAATAAATCAAAATGTATAAGATTTGTACCTCCTAATGGTTTCAACAGTTCTATTGATTCTTCTAATACTGATTTGTAATGTTTAGATTGTTTAGTAATGTTTTAGCTTATATTAGGATATATAGTGAAAGTAAGAAAGAGAAAGAGAGAGAGAGAGAGAGAGAAGGTTCTATGATGCGTGACCAAAGGGTGTTTAGAAGCCCACATGCGGCTTCTCCCCCGCGGTATAATGCACGAACCGTATTGGCATAATTACACGGATAGCGTTAGTGTCACATCTCGAACAATGCTTAGAAAGAGGGAACTAACCCACGTGGGGTAACTGCACCTGCAAGAAATGATATTTCATCCGGCATGTACCACCGATTTTCACTGGCTTTCATGCTCCCGTCAAAATGCTAAGGGTTCAATATGCTTCATCCCTAATTTCTATTATAACCGAGATAAGACTAGGTTAGCTAATGCTATTCTTGAACCGTGACCCATTTCACGTGTTTCTCTCTCTCTATCTCTCTCTTGTTTTCTTTCTCTTTAATTCTAATTCATCTTTTGGAAGACATATCACTTGAAATTTTGAAGATCATTTCATTTTGTTTAGGGAATAGTTTCCTTTAAATATTGTGATTACAAAATTAATGATAAGTATGTTTTTTTTAATTAATTTTTTTATAATTATAGGTGAATATAAATTAAGAAAAGAGAGAGAGAGAGAGGATGTGTGTGGGTGTGTGATAGTGTTTTTTAACAATTTTTTCTAACTTTTCTTTTTATTTTTCTCTAAACAAAATAGAGAGATTGAAATTTTCTATTTTAATTCATCTCTGGAATAATTTAACTTGAAATGTTTCTAATAATTTAATCTTTCGTATTTCTTTCGTAAAATCAATATTTTTCGATCAATCAAAATTATCTTTTAATTTTTATCTTGTTTCAATCGATACAATTTGAATAACTGTATTAAAATAAAATAGTAATTTTGGTATCATCTAACTCGAAACGTTGTTAATAATTTTATATTCATTTCGTATAAAAATAATCATTTATTTAAATATTACTCTGATCTTTTAATTTTCATCTCGTTTCAATCAATGTATCTTAAATTACTGTATTCTAATTTGTCGATGAAACAAAAAATATATCCCTTGAAATAACCTCAATAATTTCTTAATATCAACAAACCAATACAACCCAGTAGGTAAACCAAACGAAAAAAAAAAACGAAAAAATAAGAACAGAAAGAGACAGTGAGATGAAAGAATGGCATCATCTCCTCCTATCTACCTTTCCTAA